CCACAAATTTTTTAATTAAGGTGTTACATAACAAAAGTGGACCCACTCTTTTCCTTAATTCCCACAGTAAGGGAGAGGGAACTGCAGGAAATTAATCATTTTAAGACCAATAACTTGCTCTTTCTAACACTTTCAAATATTACTATTTCTTCACTTACCTTGCATTTAAAAAGCCTAAGATCAGGGGCATCATGGTTTACAATCCTTATAATATTACCATGCACGCTAAATATTTTGTGACCTTTTGTATCACAGAATCAGTGCAAAATATGGCTTCTCTTTATGTTCCTCATTAGTAACTCCTCATGTCCCTTTACCCTTTCACCCAACATTCAGCAACTATTTCTATCACAACTTTCTTAATCTCTCCAGATCTCCCAGGTTTTTAACATGTATGATCTTTTTTCATCCAGAAACTACTATGAAAGTGACTCATGGAAACAACAAAATCCAGATGAACCACTCCAGTGATTACTGAGGAACCAATTTAATAATTTATTTTAATCATATGTCAGATAGGAACAGTAGTTCATTCAATAATTATTAAACAGAAGTTGTTGTATTTCCCTCTTAAAGAATAACTTTGGCTAATACAGCATAACTACCTTGCTGTATTTCTCTGAAAGTTCTAAAAACATTTCTGGTAATTTATTTTAAATGCAAAATAAATTAAATGGGAAGTACCTAATTTAAAAAATATTACACCATATCTGAAAAGATGAAGATATAAGTTATGAAATAATAGTTTATATTAACAAAATGAAGTCTAGTGTCTTTGATGTTTTAATAGTAGAAAATTCATAATGTTAAGATCGGTCCTAACTCCTGCCCTCATCTGTTGAAGAATTGTTTCACATTCACAGCACACACAAGCACACCAAAAAAAGATTTTTAGCAATTTGTGTGTTATGTTTTACATAAACATTACTTTGTTTTTCTCTTTATGTAGAAAATTACATTATTTGGAGGAATCCTTTAAGAGAACAAAAATAATTAGTAT